GCCATAGACAGTATGCAGTGTGTTCCACGCACGTTGTCTCTTTGTTTCCTGTCAGTGTTTGGCATAGATTCTAGATGTCTGTAATAGTGTCGGGGAGATTTAATTAGTTAGATTTTCTAACTGAGGCAGCACTTTGCTTTTACGGACCTCTTTTGGAGTTCACCCCAAGCATGACTGCGCAGGTCATTTTGAGCTCTTGTCATGTCCCCATCATGCTTAGAATCAGGCCTGCTGGGGTCCTTGGTCAGACTGGTGTCTGTGCTGGCTGCTGTGCCTGGCTTTGTGGCCTATGAGTGGATCTGGCGTGCTGCACGCCTGGTGTGATGCTGCGCCCTGCTGCCTTGCGACCCTGAATCAGGGTCAGTGAGGGGCCTGCATCCTCCCCTGGCAGCGGCCTGCGCCTGTGCTTCTCCAGCCCGTCCTCACTTCCTCATACCATCGGCTTGGGGCTAGGATTTCAGCATGGAATTGGGGGGCACAGATTCTGTTCCGGGTGCTAGAATTTGACTGGGTTCCCATGGGAGCTCACAGAAGGGATTTGTTTCTGTTTTGTGGAGAAAATGTTAGTATGGTCTGTTTTGCTGTGTGATTAATAGGCTTTCTTGATTTTAACAACTCACTTAAGCACCATACTGAATCTTTGAATAACTCATTTTGTTCATCAGACCTCCTTTACTTCAACATTATCTTTTTCATGTTGTACATCTTATTTCTTCGATATTTTTTTTTTCCTAAAGACAAAGTCTCAGCTGGGCATGGTGCTGTATGCCTTTTAATTCTGGTTCTAGTTCTTGGGAGGCTGAGGGTATGGGTTTGAGGCCAGGCTGGGCTACAGAGTGAGTGCACGGCCAGCCTGAACTACGTAGTGAAACCCTGGCTCAAAAAAAAAAGATGCTAAGTTGCCCAGCTTAGGCTCAAACTTGGAACCCTCTTGCCTCAGCCTCCGAGAGTGCTGGGGTTCCAGTCATACACTGCCATGCCCTGATTCTCTCCAAACTTAATACAGCTTCTTTTATATTTTATCATGTACAATGTCTTTTGGTCATGTTTCTACAATGTAAAGTTTTATTTTCATGAAAAATAAATTGCAGGGCCTGAGATTTAGCTCAGTGGTGCTGCGCCTGCCTAGCAAGCACAAGGTCTTGAGTTTGATTCCCAGTACTGGAAAGAGAGAGAGAGAGAGAGAGAGAGAGAGAGAAATTGTGTTTAAGACCGCGATATCGTGACATATGTTGGTCTGAAATTTAAAAGTGTTATCCAGAGCTTAATTTCTTACAGCATCAGTGTCTATCTGTGAATGCATAGCAGGGCTGGCCAGTCAGGCATTTCCAGGACCTCACCTGGGCTAGCTTCTACCACCAAGCTACATCTCCAGTCCTTTTTAATGTTTTTTAAAAAATTTTGAGACAGGTTTTCACAAAATTGCCCAGGCTGACCTTGAATTTGTGGTCCTCCTGCCTCATCCTCCCAAGTAGCTAGGACTACAGGGTTGTGTCACTGTGCCCAATTAAAGTCTTTAGAATGTTTCAGTACTGTCTCACCTGGGGCTCATAAGGTACCAGAGTCAGTTTTGTTTTGTTTTTTAAAGTAGGAAAAATTTATTAGGAGAAAGAAAGCTTCTGCCTAAGAGAGACAGAAATGGGACTGGAAAGTGGGTTGCCCCACCAGAGTCCGTTTTAAGGAACAGTGTTAGCAGCAGCTAACACTTGGATTCCTCTTGAGTGACCCCCTCTAAATGACATCCGAGAGGTGAGCAGGGCCCGCCCAATCCATTTCTACCCCTGTGATGTTTTTGATGAGGATAGAATTGCAGCTGCAAGAGTCATGTTTTAATAGCAGGACGCGGTTAAAACGTTCCTACTCTCAGGATGCGTCTCTGCCGCATCACGTTCGCCAGGTGGAAGCACTTGATCCTTTTCGTTTCTAGGGGGCCGGTTTGACAATCAGATAGCACTGGTGAGCTGCTCTCAGCAGCTTTGTTACATATTCATAACCAATCCCGAGCCAAAGAAAAACAGTGTTGGAGCCTCAGAGGAAGATTGTAAGAGCAAAGTGGGGAGAGGGAGTGGATGGAAATTCATATCTCGTCTGACTGTGGGCACATTTCGTTGGTTCAGCAAATATTTACCCAGTGCTCTCCAGGTGTTAGACATGAACTCTGGGGTGGAACAGCGAAAAAACAGCTCAGAGCTCTGCTCTCCTGTGCTGTACTGGGTGGAGATGACTATAGACCAGCACACAGGATGACTCAGGTGGTGACCACTGTTTTGTGAGCTGAGCGATACTTTGTCTTCTTCTTTTTTTTTTGGTACCAGGGATCGAACTTGGGTCCTTGCACTTGTGCAGCAGGCGGCGAAACCACTGAGCTAAATCCCTGGCCCACTTTGTCTTCTTTTTATAAACCAGGAAATCAAGGCTCAGAGCCGTGGCCCCACTCAAAACTGGAGGACCTGGGCTCATGGTGGAGCTGCTGGTTGTGTGGAAGATGCTGTAAAGATGAGGCAGGTGTCTGCTTTCCTTAAAAATCACTCTGAGCTGGGCCTGGTGGTATAGGTCTGTAATCCCATCTACTTGAGGCTGAGGCAGCAGGATCGCAAGTTCAAGGCCAACCTGGGCAATTTAGTGAGACTCCCTCCAAAAAACTCACTCTAATATCAGATGTTGATGAAGAGCCTGGAATAAGACATTATTATATGTTAATTATTATTCATATTTGAAGTAATTTGAATCTAGGACCTTTGCACTGAACTACATCCCCAGCCCCTTTCTTTTGTTATTTTGAGACAGGGTCTTGCTGTCATTAAGGTGCCAAGTTGCCCAAGCTGGCCTTGAACTTGTAATCCTCCTCCCTCAGCTTCCCAGTGTGCTGGGGTTACAGGTGTGTGCTGCCACACGCTTATAATTATTAATTCAAGTGTCACAAGTGACTCCGGAAAGTTCTTCCCATAATTAGGCGAGTTTATGCTTTTGTTTCTTGGTGGCCACCGGCTTGGCAGGTTGTGATTAGCCACTCATCATGTTACCTATGTTAATGATTACATAAATGCAGACAAGCATCAGGTGTTAATAATTCTTTTTTTTTTTTTTTGGTACTGGGGATCAAACTTGGGTCCTTGCGCTTGCGCAGCAGGTGGCAAAACCACTAAGCTAAATCCCTGGCCCCAAGTATTAATAATTCTTGATGCAGTTTATTTGTTTTTGTTTTTGGGTTTTGTTTTTTCTTTTTTGGTACCCGGAATCAAACTTGGGACCTTGTGCTTGCGAGGTAGGCAGCGGAACCACTGAGCTAAATCCCCAGCCCTTGATGCAGTTTATAAAACTACTCATAATTTAAAAATATATACTCGCTACCTGACACTGGAGAATAGGCGGCAACAGCCATTTTTCTCCCTAAGAAAATGCCGTCACCAGTTTGATTCTGATGACAATGACACCACTTTGGCATAGGTTGGTGGCCAGACTGGTAAGAGGTGAGTGGCCATGGTCGATGCAGCCAGGCTGTGGGAGCTCCGAGGACAGCTAGTGGTTGGAACGTTGCACTTCACTAGTGATTTCTAGATCCTGGCCTTTGTGAGCACTTTTCTTTTCGAGGGATTTGAACTTGAGCACTCAGGGAGCAGTGACGGGATTTGCCTTTCACAGGAAGGAATCCAGGGAGGCTGGAGAGTGCATGGGTGAAGATGTACAGTGTTCAGGGGAACGCACGGTGACCGAGTGATGGCCGTGTCCTTGTAAGCGTGGAAGGGAGAGGAGCTGTGAACTGTTCTTGTAGGTTGGGTGCACTTGGGTCTGCGACTGGGCCGGCAGCGCGTCTGGGTAAAACGCTAGGCGCTATATGGTTTTGATTTGGGGCTAAGTCCTTGACAAGGTCATGATGTTCTGTGGAGTAGAAATGTGGTAGAAAAAAATCAGATTTTTTTAAACTTTTGAGCAAACATTTTTTTAGGTTGGAGAATAATCTGGGAAATGAAGCCAGAAATGGCTGGAGAACTGAGGTCTCGGGGTGACAGTGCCACCCGCCCATCTCTTCGAGCTGCCCTGTTTACCCTGGAACATTGGCAGCTGCTGGTCGCTGGTCCTTGATTGTGTGGAGCGAGTTGGGCAGCGTGGGCCAAGGTTCCAGCTCGGGGCCTTGGCATCTGTGTCTGCAGTCAGCACCGCAGCCCAGGCCCAGCAGGTGGCCCTGCAAGCTGGTGCTGCTGGTACAGGAGAATCACACCAGAGGGTGTGTGACAGTGGTGTTTCCTCCCTGACCCAGGCCTAGGCAGGAGGAAGAGGCAGTGCCGCACATGCGCAGGGCCTGTTTCACCCAAGGTGGAAGACAGCATTGCCACGTCTCAGGCAGTGCCTCCTGCATCGATGGGATGTGGCTGCCGCCTGTGAGGACCTGGTGCCCCCGTGAGTGGCACTTGGTTCTCACTGGCCTCAGGAGAGCAGAGGCTGTTGGGAGGCCCAGGTGGAGACTGAGACCTCCATGGAGCTGACTCCTTCCCACAGCAGTAGCAGCAGCAGCAGCAGCAGCAGCAGCGCCTGTTTGCAGCCGTGGGGTCGGGGTGGGCAGGTGGATGAGCTGCTGTCCTTGAGGGCCAGAGGGTGCCGCTGCTGTCTGGGTGAAGACGTTGCACCCCAGGTAGAGCCCAGTGCAGAGCTGCATGACTGCTGCCACCTCCTTCCTATCGTCTGGGAATCGCACCCACCTAGCTCTGCAGCTCCTGGGAGACCTTGCAGAGGGCACCGAGATGTGGCCGCCCAGGGCGGGCCAGGAGGAGGCAGCAGCCCGGACTCCTTGCCAGCGACGCCTGCCTGCCTGCCGACCCTTTCTTGTCCTCCTCGCACATGCACACAGGTCACTTCTGTGGCCAGCCAGGTCATCGGTGGGGGTGGTGGCGGTCTCCTCAGTGTAAGCTGAGGAAAGTGACCTCTCGTCCAGTAGAGTTGGGAGGGGGCAGCTGTGGGGCTTTGCTAGTGCCTTGATTTTTTATTTTTGTTTTTCGAGACAGGGTCTCATTATGTAGTTAGGCTGGCCTTGAACTCACAGTGATCCTCCTGCCTCAGCCTCCTGGGATTACAAGCCTGCACCACCACGCCAGGCTGCTGATGCCTTGTTTACGGAAGCCCTTGAGCAGGGGAGAAAGGGAACTGAGCTAAGATGTGACATGAGGAGAGGCCAGCGGATCTGTGTCCCCTGGAGCCAGTTCCTGGTCAGGTCAGTGCTGGGAGAGGACTTTCATCTGTCCAGGGAGATTAAGTAAACTTTTCTTCCCTTTTCCCAGAGTAGCTCTGTAAGCTGAATGTTTAATGTGCACCATTGACTTTCACAGTAAGCCAGCCAGATAGTCCATCCAGCCATTCCACATGGTTCTGGTGGCTGCTGGAGTGGGGTTGGTGGAAAAGGCACCATAGCTCCTGAGGGCCAGAGTTTACCCTGCTCTGCAGTTTAGCATCCTTGGGAGATTTGGAGCAAAGATCTTGTTTCTGCCTCCCATTTCCTGTTGTTACCTTTCCTCCTAAGACAGTGAGCCTACTGGCACATGGAGACAGTGCAGTGTGCGAGTCTTCCCTGTGGCCCTGTGGTAACATGGTGTAGGGAAGGATCAGAGGTGGAGCGGATGCTGAGCATGTTGCTCTGCCTCTGTAGGCACCCCACTCCTTCCTGCACACGGACTGATGCGGAGAAAAGTCAGTACCGCTGCCCTTAAAAATGCGTCCCTCACCACTGCCTGTCACCTGCCTATGATCTTGACCAAGCCACAGGTGCCCCCGAGTGGCCAGTGCTCTGCCTATAAACGGAGGCTCACTGAAGCTCCCTGCAGTAATTCCAGCTTCTTAGGAGGCTGAGGCAGGAGGATCATGAGTTTAAGGCCAACCCCAGCCTTTCTCAAAGTGTAAAAAGGACTGGAGTTGTTACTCAGTGGGAGAGGGCTCGCTGGGGGTGTGTAAGGCCCCGGGTGCCCAGTGCAGGGTTCACAGCCCACCCATCCCGAGAGGTTTCTGATCATGCCTGGATTGGGGGCCTCCTGGAGTCTGAAGAGGCCCTGCTGACCTTCACAGATCCCAGGATTCGAACTCGCGTTCCAGGGCCTCTGAAACCTCTCCTTAAGTTGAGCCATGTAAGCAGAGGTGATGCTTGGGTCCTCCCCTGTGTCTCTCTGAAATTTCTCTCCCTGAATTGGGTCCTGGTGCCCGTGTCTGCTGGTGTCGGGAGCTGCGTCCGCCTCACTGAGTTGCCATTTGTGTCTGACCGTACTCCGTACTCGGCTCACTCCGGCCTTTATCTTGGTTTTTCCGTCATTCTGTTTCTGCCCTAATTCCCTTACGTATGTATTTGTGTGTTTTTCAGGAATCACTTAAATCCTTCCTGGAACAGGAAAGCGGTGACACTGGGCGAGGTGGATGGAAGCTGCCTGCGTGGGTGCAGATGCTTGGGCACCTGTCCGGGGCGCCTCATATTCTATACTCATCACAGCCCCTGGACCTTGCTTTATTCGCAAGCTCAATTGATCTTCCTGCCTCAGCCTCCCAAGTAGCTGGGATGACAGGCACGAGCACTGTGCCTATTCCTTTTCTCTTTGAAAGATTTTCTGTATTTCCTATTTTAGGGAAATTTACCATCTACCTGGGAATCCAGACCTGAAATCTAGGACCTGCTCTTCTCACATCTCACCTTCAAAGACCTGAGTTCTCTGGACTACACACATTTAGTGTCCTTAGAACCGTCCCTTCCCTGCACCGCAGCTAGTGTTCATTTTCTTTTTTGGGTTTCTCTGAGGCAGGGTCTCACTGTGTGATCCAGGCTTGGCTTGAACTCATGGTGCTCCTCCTGCCTCAGCCTCCTGAGTGCTGGGATCACAGGTGTGGGCTCAGCTGGAGTGTTTGTTCTGAAAGATCAGTTGGACCCAGCTACTCCCTTGCTGACATCCTTTGAAACCTCCTCCCGGTCTCCCGAACAAGTTCAGTGCCTGTGGGGAGCATTCTGAGCTTGCTGCAGGCTTGTTCTGGCCTGTCTCTCCCACCCGTGTCTTGCCACATCCAGACACCTCCCTGGTCAGGCAGTTCCTTACGGCACTCCTGCCCCCATCGGCTACCCTCTGTCCTGCAGAGGAACCTAGGCCAGGTCCCAGGTGAGAGCCGGGGCCTCCATCCGCAGCAACAGCATGGCGATGCCACATGCGGCCACCACCCATCCCTCCTCCTGTGCCCTGGGCACCTGGCCAGTTGCACCTGCTGCCCGCTGTGTGCAGCCGAGCACAGTCGGGCAAGGACCTGGTGGGGCCCTCGTTTTTCTGCAGCCGATTGTGAAAATGGTCAGATCTGCGGAGTGTGGATGAATTGCCTAGATTCATCCATGGTTACTTCCCCCCCAAATCCTCTTTATTTCTGCCAGTGTATAAATGTGTGTGTATACCTGTTTCTTTGTTACTTTCCTGTCACTGACAAAACACCCAACAGCTGCAGCGTAGAGGAGCAGAGGTTTTCTGTAGGGGATTCAGCCAGTGGTTGGCAGCCTAGGCAGGGAGGCTTCCTGCCTCGGGGCAGCCGGAAAGGGTGAGAGGAGGGGCAGGGACGGGGTGACCCTTTCCAGTCCCCCCCTCCGACAGGCCCCATCTCTGGACTGGAGCCTTTGGGGGGATGGTTTAGATCTAAGGCGTAACAAGATGCATACACACTTGAGCGAACACGTCAGTTAGGGCTAAGCTGCGTGCGTGAATGGAGAACCCTAAAATAAAGCCACGGTGGGAAACGGCCATGGTGGGCAAAGACCTGAAGAGAATCAAATCTGCAGAAGGCAGGAGAGGGACACAGAGCAGTGATGGGACAGGAGGTGTCAGGGGCAGGCTGCTTGGCACTAGGGCTACCTGTCCCTAGGAACAGGCTGCACTGCCTTGGCAGGCCCTGGGACTCCTGTGGCGGGTGACTGAACAGAAAGGATAGGGTGGAGCTCAGTGGTTCCGGTGCCTGCCCCGCAGGCACAAGGACCCAAGTTCAATCCCTGGTACCAAAAAAAAAAAAAAGGATGGGGCGGAGTTTGCCACCCTCTTTCTCTCTGCCGGGTGACCCGTGGTGTCCCTAATGGGATGTCTGGGTGCCCTGAGTTCTGGAGGGAAGACTGTAGTGCAGGGCCACATTTGACTGCTCTCATAGGGGAAACAACGTTTTCATTCTTGTCATCAGCAGTTGGAAATTTGTCACTGCTATTTACATTTATGTATAATTTGGACTAATAACAGCCACCATATGGTCAACATGCATCCTTTTAGAAGTAAAGGGAATCAGCCAGGCGTGGTGGTGCACACCTGTAACCCCAGCCCTCAGGAGACTGGTTCGGGAGGAGCACCTTGAATTTGAGGCCAGCTTGGACCACATAGTAAGACCCCGTCTCACAACAACAACAACAAAAAGAAGGAAAGAAAATTGCAGATAAATCACTGTGTGCCCTTAGAAACCTGCTGCTTTCAGTTCAAGTTTTTAAAAACTTGTAGGAAAATATACTTAACAGAAATTGATGGCTTGCTTTGAAAGCACGCGAGGTCGCAGTGAAGAGGACAGTTTCTTTGAAGGAGCCTTGCTGAGCTCCTAGGTGTGTTCTGTGCATCCCCTCCGCTGTCCCTCTCACGGCCTGTGCTCCCTGCTGCTCTGTGTCACCATGGTCGCTGTCCTCTTCCCCAGGTGTTTTATCATCTTCAGAGCTGTGATAGTGCTGGTGCCCAGCAGCAGTCTCCTTTGTAAGTCTGCCCGTGAGATGTCATGCTTGCCTGCTTTCTCGGCACACTACTTTGATCCCCGCTCCACACCTCATCAGAGAAGGAGTTTGGTATCACTCAGAACTGATGCTCAGAGAGTGATGGAATTGGGGTGCCGCCATCTGTGCCCGATTCACTCTGGCACCTGATTGGCAGCTGCGTGTCAGCAGAGTGGTGGGGCCCTCTGTCCTCGGCTGCTGCCCTGGTGGAGGAGTCGCCGTGCAGGTCGGGGTGTGAGTGGCATGTGCAGTCCAGGTCAGGAGGTCTAGCTGCATATCCACTTTGACCTTCACTTTTTCTTTTTTCTTTTTGGTAGCGGGGATTGGACTCAGGACCTTGAGTTTGCAAGGGAGGCACAGTGCTGCTGAGCTAAATCCCCAGCCCTCACTTTTTCTTTTTTTTTTTTGGTACCGGGGATCGAACTTGGACCTTGAGCTTGAGAAGCAGGCACCAGAACCACTGAGCTAAATCCCTGGCTCACTTGTTCTTTTTGAGACAGTGTCTCCCTATGTAGTTCATGCTGATCTAGAACTCACTGTGGAGCCCAGGCTGGTTTGGAATTCACAGCCATCCTCCTGCCTCAGCCTCCCCAGTGCTGGGGTTGCAGGCCTGTGACACCGTGTCCAGGCACTTTCACTTTCTAGTTGTGACCTTGAGCAAGTCAGCCCAACCTGAGTTCAGGATCCTCACATGTAAGATGAGAAACAAATGTGCCCGCCTCCTTGAGTTGTTAACTGAGCTTAAATATGTGTGGCCCTTACTATCTGGCCAGTGGATAGGTGTTAAATCATGTTAATTATTCTCCCGACTTAGGGTTTCCAGTGGTCTCCAGAACTGGTTGAGAAAATAATGGGAAAGTCTGTATTTGCCAAGAGCTGAATCAGCTTCAGTTTGCAGGAGAGGAGGGCGAATTGTGTTTGATTGAAATCCTTGAGGGAAAATCTGAACTATTTCTTGTTGTAAGGTTAAAATTGAAGGAAAATACCGCATTTCATATTTTGTCCTCCTATGTATAGGCTGACAGTGATAAAATGAGTTTAACTTAATTCTTTTAAAAGGGGGAGAGCTTTGCTTGACAATACTTTGGAGCTTTGTTTGTTTTGTTTTTTGAGACAGGGTCTTGCTACGTGGTTCAGGTTGGCTTTGAACTCACTGTATAGCCCCGTCTGGCCTCTCGTGATCCTCCTGCCTCAGCCTCCCAAGTGCTAAGATTACAGGCATGCACCACCAGACCCCAATTGTCATAACATTTTGTAAGTTTTGCATCAGCCAACTATTTCAAAAGAAAATGAAACCAGTCATAATAGTGAGAGAGAGCCCTAGGAGGAGACCACCCTAAAGGGTCAGTACTTTCAAGGGTTGTTCTTTATGTTGGAGTTTGCCTTTCTCTACGTAGAAAAGTAAGGAGCTCTGTAGGGTGGGAGTTTACTACGCTGACCGCGGCATCTCAAGGATTCCCCACAAA